ATTTATCTTTTAAGGCATGGGTCAAAGTCAAAACTTTAACATTCACTCAAAAATTGTCTGAAAACTATATCAGAAATATAAATATCAACACTGACTCAGTAAGTCAAATGAAGGTGCTCCTTTTATAAAGCTTTTTTACTTTAAAAGCAAGAAATAGCCATTCTCAGGGAGTGATTAATCTCATTATAAAGTAGGTGACTTAAATGTGGCAGACGAAAACTGCTCTAACACCTCGTATTTCTCTCCATTGACTGTAAAAGGATATCTCAGATGATTAGCTCAGGTGGCTACCTGGAAGGTACCTAAGATTTCGTAAGATTACTGATAAGCTATGCCAAAAAGATCTGTTACAGCAATACGAAAGCATAGCACCTTTCTTATAAGCTTCTTCTAGTCTTAACTGAAATTTGATGCTGTTTCAAAAAAGCAATTTCTTCATGTAACCATAATTCTAAGCAATTAATCTACTATATGAAATTTTAATACACATTATCTGGATACCATTTACTGCCTTTATTTTAAAAAATGGAGACCTAATAGAGAAGCTACATTCCTACAATTGGTTAGTCTATGGAAATAATTCCATTCAAAAATTCTTCAAAACTGCAACACAACTGATCAAGACAGATGAAAAAGAAAGGTTAAAAAGATAAATATCTGATTAAAGGGAATTAGTTCTAGCCTTTGCTTCTGATTTCTTGATACTTCCTATAACTTCACTGATACACCCTTACTCTCAGCTGTCATTGAAGAGAATGTTGAAGAGTCTTGCTATGAATGTATAAATGTGTAACTACAAGAGATAAAATATTTACTGTGCCCATGAGGTAAAATAGTATTACCATGTGCTATGGATCTGGCTTAAAACTTGTTGCTTATGCACTGAGCAAGTAAGCAGTACCTACTGAGTGGTCCCACCATATTTCTATTGACACCCATTGGTCAATAGCTGTGGGAGGCTGATTCCTGTGACACACACTGACAATTCACATCATGCAAATGATGGTAAAAGATGCAGTGACTCCCTGTACGTAAAATTGGTTGTAACAGTGTGGCCTAAGGAGGAGAAATAAAATAAGAGCAAAGGGTAAGATTAAAAAAAATATATGCAAAAAAATCCCCAAACTGTCCTTTAACTTGGAAATAGATTTAGCAAAAGAATAAAGATATCTGGGATTTTTATATATTATGTCTGCTTCACATTTTACAATGAGGTAATAAAATTTATGTATTCATTACAAAGATGCATCCTAAGGACAGGCATTTTAATTTCTGCATAAGCAAAGAACATAAAATTTGTCACACACAGAATTATAATTTAGAATAACAATTAGAATCCATTAAAGTTCCTTTGATTGTTTTTTCTCACATATTTTTTTCATCCTAATTCATATAATACAGAATGAGATTTTAAGCTTTGGTTAATTTGTTTTGCTCAGACTGAAGTACTTGTGCAAGCTTCTTATTGCATAAAAATGTGAGGGGGGAGGTGAATTGAAGAAGCAGTAATATTAATGCCCTCTTGAATATCCTATTAAACATTTTAAAATAGATGCTTGGGTCTCCTAATTTTCAGTATGAAACTGTCTGAAGAGTTGGCATTGTATATACTGAGCCTCTTAACAGGTTTTTTCAGACTCCAACCATGCTAAACACTTGATATCCTAGAGGAATCTGCATAAAAATGTCATTGTACTCTTCTGAAAAAATGAATACAGCCCTTTTGACTAAAATTATGAAGGGGTCTTGATGTTTAAAAATGAAGATAAGTAAGACTTGGAAAGCATTTAGATGGATTAGATACTTAAACACCGTTGAAGCTAATGCTTTCTAAAGCCCTATCTGGAGAGCCCTATCTTCTTATCATGATGGTGCAGAAAAAAAAAAATAGAAAACTAAAAAGGCAGGATAAGACAGTATTGAAAGAATGAAGCACAGTAAACACCTTCTTTAACTCAAGCTGAATGTAGTTTTCTAGCTCTCATGCTGGATATATTGAGTAGTAAATTGGTGTTTCTGAATTTAGTTAAAAATAAGTCAGGCTATAATATATTCATATCCCCAGATATTCCACAAGCCATTGTATACTTAGTCCCTTGGTTAATATGTAAGGCAGAAACTCGTTCACACTCTTCTGTAAAAATGTGAAAGATCTCCTCCAAATGGTCATGTTGATTACATAAAGAAATACATAATTTATAAAACAGATAATAATTTTTATTGACTTAAATTTATTTTAATCCTACTTGTTCCCAACTTTCACATATCACATAAGCGTATAAATAGTATATATGAAAAAGAGATTTAAATCTGTTTTCCTAAATTTGTTTCCATCAGCGCATTGCTCAGTTCATCTACTTTTCGCAGCTGTTTTGCACATTTTTGTTTTTCTTCCTTCTGGCGCTGGGGTGATCAGTTTTAAGCTGAAAACAGGTATCTTTTGATATCCTCCACATGACACAGTGTAACTATATTTTAGGTAATGAATAGTCTGTTGATCCAGACGTTACCTGCAAGCATGCAGCAAATGTGTGAGTGTCACTGATAAATATATGGGTCATATATATGATGTATATGATATATGATATGAATCAGCTGCTGAGTGTGCCTTCTGACCACATTGCCTAAACCCATTGTGGACAGAAATGATGAGAAAAAGTCAGATAACATACAGATAAACTCGTGACATTAATAGAAGGATAAAAATAAGCAGAAGTAAACTCCTGAAATTATGCTGTGTACTTGATCTGACACTCTAACCTTTGCAAAAGGATGTGCTACAACTAAATCTGGTAAAGTATAACTTCCCAGTTTTCATCTTATATTAAAAGCTCCAGATATAGTGAAAGAAGGAGAAAAGGTCAGATCTTCAGTGTTATGGCTATTGTATTTTGGGTTTGGTATTGCAATATAAAGCAGCTTTTTTGGAAAATGGTATTCTGTTGTGAAGTTGAGGATTTTAGAACTCCTCAGTGCAGTGTGATAGAACTATTAAGATTTGTAGATTTCTCTTTATGTGACAACAAATACAAAAATTGTGAGGGGAAAAGACTGAGTTTATCTAACTGTTGAACTATATTACTTTGAACAGAAAGATCAATATACAGCTAATCCTCTTGTAGTTGAAATGATTTTTCTAAGCACAGCAAAATAAAATCAGAAGTGTTAGTTTCTTAGAATTTATATTACTTTTGCACAGTTTAATTTCCTTTTTTTTTTTTTTTTCGGGTTCTCCAAGACATCCTTGTGATCCCTAATTTACAGTTCCTTGAGGTAATAATGTAAGAGATTTGTAAGAGATACAAATGTAAAAAAACATTAATTCAAAAATGATGGTTGGAGGGGAGCATGATGACAAGAGTGACACTTATTCCTCACTAAAAGAAATTGTTTTTTACATTTATTTTATTCTGGCTTACCTTTTGTGTATTAAAAAGTGTATTAGTCTGCAAGACAAAGATAATGACTTGTGAAATTGCAAAATTAACTGCAATATAACTATTAATTAGTGGAAGATAAATATTATGCATCCAGATATGCTATTTTAGCTAATGTAAAGTCTTTTAAAAGAACTAAATGCTGAGAGGCCTGCCATATGTTACTGAGATAAAATTAATCCCAAAGTCACATTATGTCCTGGTTCCAGCAGAGATAGGGTTAATTTTCCCCAGGCTCTGGAAGGGACCCAGGTATCCCATCCCATGTGAGCTTCACCTAGTCTGTAGTCTGGAGCTGCAGGGGCAGGAGGAAGTCCTTGCTGGGGAGTGGGTTGGAGCATCCTGGGTCCAGTTGGTAAGCAGTGGTGCCGTAATTGTGTTTTTATATTCTTCTCTCAGTGTTATTGTTGTTGTTTTCTTATTCCCTTTGCTGTTCTGTTAAATTACCTTTGTCCCAACCCTCAAGTTTTGCCTTTTTCTTCTGATTCCCCCCTCACGGCTCTAGGGGGGGCCCAAGAGAGCGGCTGCCTGGTTCTTTGTTGCCATCTCAGGCCTAACAAGGACACGTTACAAATAAGCAACCTGGAGTTTGAAGATTTTAAGCTCTGTTTTGAAGATATTTATAGTTTTAGTCATATTATGTTAGGCATTTATTTCCTTCCTTACAGGAAGGTAAATGGCTGTGAGTTTTGCTCGGTACCACTGAAATAATACAAGTTTTATCAACAATTCCAATGCACACACAAAAAAAATAAATAAAAAAATCACAGCCTGGTTGACATTCAGATAGTTACTCATATTTTAGTCTCATTCTAGAAACAAAACTACTGTTGCAAAAGTCTGCCTTTCCACACTTTACAGTCTCTCTTTGTATCCCAATGTATGGGGCCTAGAGAACAAGTGATATGAGGAGAGGCTGAGGGAACTGGGCATGTTTAGTTTGGAGAAGAGGAAGCTGAGGGGGGACCTCATTGCCCTCTACAACTACCTGAAAGGAGGTTGTAGAGAGGCAGGTGTTGGCCTCTTCTCCCAAGGGAATAATGACAGGACCAGAGGAAATGGTCTAAAGTTGCAGCAGGGGAGGTTTAGATTAGATATTAGGAAGAATTACTTTACTGAGAGGGTGATCAGCACTGGATCAGCCTGCCCAGGGAGGTGGTGGAGTCACCATCCCTGGAGGTATTTAAGAAATGTGTAGACATGGCCCTTCAGGGCATGCTGTAGTGCCCAAGATTATTGGTTTGTGGGTGGGTGTGATGTGGTGGGGTGTTGTGTTTTGTGGGGGGTTTTTTGTTGTTGTTGTTTGGGTTTTGTTTTGTTTCTTTTTAAGGTTGGACTCTATGATCTCAGAGGTCCCTTCCAACCATGGTGATTCTGTGAATTCTGTGATTCTATGTAGTTGAATTAATAGAAGTTTAAAAAGAAATGTTTCTAATACTATAACGTTCCAGTCACTGAGGTGTCCAGTCAGACATACTAATCCTCCTTCTCTTCAATTTTTTATGGAGAGTTTTGTAAGCATCAAGTAAACAAGTTTGCATGTGTTATCAATCCTTTTTTTAGGCTGCCTGGAACTGAAAGAAGACACCATTGAAAATCTTCTGGCAGCTGCCTGCCTCCTCCAGCTCCCGCAAGTGGTAGAGGTTTGCTGCCATTTTCTAATGAAGCTTCTGCACCCATCCAACTGTTTGGGAATACGAGCGTTTGCTGATGCGCAAGGATGCACAGAGCTTATGAAGGTGGCTCACAACTACACCATGGTAAGGCGGTTTTAAAATATCTCAATTATGATCTTCTGAATCCTCTATATTTTCTGTAAGTAAAAATATCTTGTTAGTTTTTGGCTTGAAATCATTCTGTATCTGTATGTAGGAGTGGTGATTCCTCTCAGCATCACAGAAGTTATGAGAATTGGCCTGCTGTGATGAATACAATGTCTGCTGAATCAGAGCAGTACATGCCTTAATTAGATGCATGTTCACATACAGGTGATAATAGTAAAAAGTATCTGTAAGTCCTTAGAATGCTTTTTAATCACTGTTCCTTTTTTGTTGAGCTTTAGGCAAGCTTTGTAATTGTCATTGTTATGCATGGGGATACTATAAAGGGAAGTTTTGTGGTGGTTTTTTTTGTCAAGAATTATCCCTCCTTCTATTCATTGATGAAGTAGATTAAGACAGAAAGTTGAAGACATAAATAATTTTATCCAACAATATTTCACAGTTTTCTAGTTACACCTGACAGAACAGGTATGGCATTAATATTAAAAATTAATCAGAATCAATGAAGCAAAAATATGCTACTTATTCAGAAACTAAATCATATCGGTAGTCATTTGATTCTTAGTAGTTTGACAAAATTAAAAACATCTGCCTCACGAAATTAAACTTACATAAAAAGTAGATTACATATCATTTCTGAGAAATAATGGTCCCTTAAGATCCATACGGAAATTATTGTTGAAGTAATCGAGCAGGTTTCAATGAATCTGCTGTGCTTGTCCAGCAGTTATGTCCTTTATTTAGTTATTCTTTTCTCTAACTAATACTATATTGTAATTCACAGGTTTATTATGTTTTTCTTACCACTACAGCTCAGGTAGTAATACCCATTTTACACTTATGGAGCTATTTCTGTGGCTGGTTTTAATTTTCTTTGCATTTAGACATTTAAACTGTAGTTTTCCAGGTCCATACTAGCCAGTTTAACCTTTGTCTGTCAGTGGAGAGAAATAAGCTTTCAGATCAGAATTCATCTGAGGTACCTTAGAATGAGATTGAATTAGAGCTAAACAGGTATGTGTTGAAAAAAATCTACATTTTTTACATTTTTTTTTAAGATTTATGTATTACTTTGATATTTTTTCTTTTTTGAGTGAAAAAAAATATAATGAACAATGAAAAAAATTAATAAAACCTAATAGAGGAAAATCATAATTTTTAAAAAATCTCATGGTTATTTAAAACAATTAAAATATTTTTGGTGGTGAATGAAATTACTCATTATAGCACATTTGAAGACTCATGACTAATATATCTGACACATCACAAAGTACACAAAGTTCTGTGCCAATTTCCAAAACATTAAGTATATTATATGATTAGGGACCTGGAGCATCTCCCTTATGAGAAGAGGCTGAGGGACCTGGGTCTTTTTAGTCTAGAAAAGAGAAGGCTGAGGGGGGATCTGATCAATGCTTATAAACACTTAGAGGGTGGGTGTCAAGAGGATGGGGCCAGTCTTTTTTCAGTGGTGCCCAGGGACAGGACAAGAGGAGATGGGCACAGACTTGAATATAAGAAGTTCCATCTGAACATGAGAAGGAACTTCTTTACTTTCAGGGTGGCAGAGCGCTGGAACAGGCTGCCCAGAGAGGTGGTGGAGTCTCCTCTGGAGACATTCAAACCCTGCCTGGACACGTTCCTGTGCAACCTGCTGTAGGTGGACCTGCTTTGGCAGGGGGGTTGGACTCAATAATCTCCAGAGGTCCCTTCCAACCACATGTGATTCTGTGATTTTGTGATTATGGGAAATTCACCAACAAAAGACAGTACATCAAAAAGGAAGTCAGTAGTAATTAATAAGCAGGCTTTGATGTAACTACATTTATAAGCATGCACAATAGTCACACTTTGTTAGAAAGACAAATAGTCACATCTATCCAGTTATGCGTTTACAATACTTTTTCTGTACGTGATTAAACTTCCAACCCAGTGAAAACATAATTCTAAAGTTAAGCTTCATAATACATATTTTCCTATCATGTTATTGCATTTAGGTGTGAAGCGCCTCATATCTTTTTATTTACCGTTTTGTGTTAAAGGGTAGGGGTGACCAGTTGTGAGTGGGGGAACAGTGCCTTATGACTTGTCTTGACAACACTTGAATCTTTATAAGAGAAAAGGGATTATTCCTTCTATGTGCATGCATAACTGGGAAAAACTATGGTTCAGGGACGGTACCCTGGAAAGTGTGATAGAGGAACAGCAGAGACTTGTAATGTGAAGAAAGAGTAGAAAAGTGATGGGCAGAGCAAAAAGCAGATGCATAGTCTTTGAAGTAATGGAAAACATTATTTTTTCCTTCAGACTCCAGGGAACTAGTATGAACTGTGATGAGAGGAAATGTAAAGTGGGGCAAGGGGGAGTTTGTTAATAAACTCCTCCTGTCTTATGCAGATGATTTGAGGGGATCCCTTTTTAAAAAACTGTGGGGAAATCCTTATTTTTCAAAAGTTCTCGTGCTTTTAAGAGAATTTCAAAGTTCTTTCTTTAAAGCTTTTCATGGTGCTTTCTTTAAGACTTGCAAGTGATGTATCTCAAAATTTGGCTTTGTGAATCTGCTTCCAAATGAAAAATCTCATTTGTCATAAGTAGGAAACAATAGTGCTCCCATAACTCTGTCATATTGTGTGTTCGTTTGCTTGTAAAAAACTATCATTCTGGAGTGGCTGGAGAGCTGCCTGGCAGAAAAGGACCTGGGGGTGTTGGTCGACTGTCGGCTGAACATGAGCCAGCAGTGTGCCCAGGTGGCCAAGAAGGCCAACAGCATCCTGGCCTGTATCAAGAACAGTGTGGCAAGTAGAGCCCGAGAGGTGATCGTCCCCCTGTACTCGACACTGGTGAGGCCCCACCTCGAGTACTGTGTCCAATTTTGGGCCCCCTACCACAAGAGGGACATTGAGGTGCTGGAGCGGGTCCAGAGAAGGGCAACGAAGCTGGTGAGGGGTCTGGAACACAAGTCTTACGAGGAGAGGCTGAGGGAACTGGGGTTGTTCAGTCTGGGGAAGAGGAGACTGAGGGGAGACCTTATCGCTCTGTACAAGTACCTGAAAGGAGGCTGTAGAGAGACGGGGGTCGGTCTCTTCTTCCAAGTTACAGACGATAGGACAAGGGGTAATGGCTTCAAGTTGTGCCAGGGGAAGTTCAGGTTGGATATTAGGAAACATTTCTTTACTGAAAGGGTTATCCAGCATTGGAATGGGCTGCCCAGGGAGGTGGTGGAGTCACCATCCCTGGAGGTATTTAAGAAACGTGTAGACATGGTTCTTCAGGGCATGCTCTAGTGCCCAAGATTACTGGTTTGTAGTGGGGTGTTGTGTGGGTGGGTGATGGTTTTTTGGTTTGGAGGTTGTTGTTGTGTGTTTAGGTGGTGGGAGCTGGTGTGTGTGGTTTCTGATATGAAGGCCAAATAACAGATTAGTAAATGCAGCTTTCAAAGTTTGAGTTTCTGTTTTCTGAAGAAAAATACTTTTCTCCATGAAAATGTGAAACCTAAACCAGATGAAATTAATATTCTGTAGCTTATTGTCTTAAATATTTACTTAAATTGTTTATCATATAAATTAATCTCTCTGATATATGAAAAGCACTTATTGGGAAAAAACTTGCCGGGGCGGGGGAAAGTCTTGACTGTGTTTGAGAGAACTCTAATAGCTTTTGAAGAGTGAAATAATATGATTTCTTTCTACACTTTTTCAAATCTTTAGAAATACTGAATTTCTTCCTGGATATTTAGCACTATAGTGCCAGATTATTTTAATAATAAATCAGTTCAGTGAATAGGGAATTATAGTTGACTATCTGAATAGTGAGTTCTGTAATGCTAACCATTATAAATTTTTTTAATAGAGTACAAAAAACAAAGGAGTACATATGCATGTCCCCAAAGTAAAGAAAAAGTGAGGGTAATAACTGAATTTATATACCTATCAAATTCTTCTTTGCATCTACAAAAATATCACAAAAATATCTACTCTACATTAAGCATGAGAAAGTTTGTTGTTTTTTTTTTTTTTTTTACTCCATTGTATGTCTCTTAAATACTGTAGCCAAGTATGTAGCCAAGAATTATCAAACCCCAAAATAAGAATTTTTATTCTACTAACTGTAATGCTATAGCTAGGTGTAAGCACAATAGTGCTGTTAAAGTCTTTTGAGTTAAAAAACCTCAGAGAAACAATAATTCTATACTGGTTGTGGGAATGGGGAGCAAGGGAAAGTTTTAAAAATAATCTTGCAAAAAATATGTTTGTAGACATGGCATATAGTATAGACTGTGTAATGATTTTGAAATATGACTGAAGTTAAACCTTATCTTGGAATAATTTTGCTTCTTAGTTAATTACATAGGTGAAATTAAATATTAATTGAGTCGTAAGAAAATGATAATAAAAAAAATACTAATTCTCTGTAGCCCTTAGTTGAGGTCCTCAGTACTCATTTAAAGTACTGGAACCTTAGGATAACTCTTTGACTGCATTGGACCTGGCAAATGTTTTACAGCTTTCTTCCACCAAGCAGTTTTAATTAGAAAGTCATTCACATTAGTCTTCACAGTAGCATTTTAAGAAAAATCAATATATTTTCATGAAAATGGTTTGCTTCACTGAATCTCCATAAATGTTTTAATCTTTTTTCAAAAGCAATTTCCTTGTCTAGTGTCAGACTTGATATTTTACAAGTTCTAAATTACACTACTGTTCATTAGATATAGATAATAATTAAAAAAATAATCAATTTGCTTTGATCTTTCATGTAATATCTTACGAAGACAAGACATTTGAACCTGGAAATTTCTTTATATTAAAGAAGAATTGGTACTAAAGAGCAGACCACTGAATTTAAGAATAGTGTTGACTTAAGGAGATATGTTGTTTCCCACACATGTTTTCTGTCACATTAGATAACTTCAGTTTCCCTTGACCATGAAATTTGTGGAAGCCATGAATACTAATTTTTATTTGCATACTTGGAACAGG